AGATCAGCCCAGAGGTTGTTTCAGGGTTTGATCTGTGAGTTAGCCATGCCCTGACTTTGATCAGCCCAGAGGTTGTTTCAGGGTTTGATCTGTGATATAGCCGTGCCCTGACTTAGATCAGCCCAGAGGTTGTTTCAGGGTTTGATCTGTGAGTTAGCCATGCCCTGACTTAGATCAGTCCAGAGGTAGTTTCAGTTTGTTTCAGGTTGTTTCAGCAGGGTTAGATGATATTTGAAGATGGAAAGTGTTGATGGTGCCTCACCTGTAATGTTTTGCCTTGGACATCTACTTTAAATTCTAAAACTTGTTGATAAAGAGGTTCTAAAGTTCGTCGAGCTGTTCTTGTCTTTTTCTTAGCAATGCATCTTTTTCCTTCCATTACGTACACTTTAATATACGGAGCTGACGGGGGAAAACCAATACAGATTTAATAATCACATGATACAGAAAAACATATATCGAATGATGCGCGCACTCGTTGTTTTGATGGAGAAGTTTATCTTAAACGGTTGTAACGAGTTTTGTATGTTACCCCGAAGATGACCGCGTACGTCGATAGCTCGGTAGAATAAAGAAATTAATTAACGGTTTATGTAATAAATCTAACCAAATGAATTTAAACCCAGATTTAGTAAATCTCGTCTGAAAGTCAGGAAATTCAGCAGGGAGTTTTCTATTGGAGGGAAGCGGCCATCTTGAAACCAAACTCAAATTCTAAATATAGTATCAGAATTCCTAATTTGCATATCTGAATATTCCGGAGCGTGGTTATAGTGTTACACTCAAGGGCGGATCCAGCCAAACTTTTAGGGGGGGCTAATTGAGTTTCTTCCGTCAGCACAACGGAAAACAATATAAAAAAGCATCGTTTTTTTCTGCTGAAGGGGGGGCTTCAGCCCCCCTTTGCCCCCCCTGGATCCGCCCTTGACACTTTTCAACCTCCTTATGAGTTTCTGGTTGCCACATGTTGCAATGTTGTGCCCAGTGCTTTCTGGCTGCCTGTGTTGCTGGTCGTACCTGGTAACATCTTGGTGCCTGGTTTGGGAAGAAGACCTTTTGCTCGTATCACTTCAACTTCTAAAGCTCCTTTTCGATAACATAACGCTAACTGTATATCACCCATGGGTGGGGAGGCTGAAATGACAAGAATAACATTATCAGTAACAGCTTGGTGCAAGGGACAACCCTAGCTCATCCTTGCGCTACGGGGGCACGAAAAACAAAAGAGTTAGCAATAAGGTCACCGTACCTTCACGTAGACCATCTCTAAGGATAATCTACAGGTGCAGCCCCCCCTCCCCTCCCCCAATGCCATGCTGGTTGCAATAACAGAAGAATCCAAGATCGATCAAATCTTGGCGGCTATGTCGTCATATACATAAGGTGCACAAGGTCAAAAGACTGTCATGTTGGGTTAAAATTTTAAATAAGCAGCCAAGACTAAATTTTTCAACCAACATGGTGGCCATGACGTCACATTCACAAGGACGAAAGACGTGGGTCTTTTATGAGATTAATAAGATACATTATGGTCTAGCTTTGGTACAAACACCATATTAAGCATGATGAATAAAAGATGTTTGTCCCCAAGCTAGCTCACAATGCAACATGTTCAATATCTCAAAAAAAAGGTCTACGTTGAAATGACAAAAGATACCAAGACTAGATCGTTAGTACAATTCCACCAACATGGCGGCTATGACGTCACTTGCACACCAAGTGCTCTTGTATTTATAAAAGTCATGTTATACATACCTAAAACTTGCCGGCCAACCATCTGTGATGGACCTAAACCTTCGATAAAATCACCAAGATGACCTTCATTACCGAGCTTGAGGCTTGGCGGCACCCAAGGACTAAAACGAACAAAGATATGCAAAATATGGGTAAGTCATACACAAAGCAAATACGAAGCACTGAAACGAGGCAGTGAGGGAAGTTCACAAAAATATCCTGCGACCTCGTTTGAATGTTTGCTGCGAACAAGTCGTGCAACGAAAAGAATGAACGCCCAACACCTGAAGTAAAGCCGGATTGGATAGGATATATGAAGCCTTGTACAACGAAATAAAAAGTACCAACGATACGACAGAGAGACAGACAATAATCAAGTCCAAACGAGACAAGTCTAAAATGTTAGAAAATGCGCATGTGTATAGAATCAGTTTTTTAAAAATATTCATATAGGTTTGTTGTGTATCTTTTCGTATCCTTGGTAGAAACAGCAAACTTAACAATTTGCTCCCAAAATAACTGTCAAAAATTCACCATCAAGGCAACAGAGTGTAACTCCGACATCTGCTATTAAAAAGTCTGGCTCTCTTAATTGTTTAATTATAACAATTATTCAAAACAATTTTTCTTCTCACGTTTGTCGTAGTTCACTGCATAATTATAGAAACTCTGATCTCTTAGTTTTAATCTAAGTTTTCAGGGCCCCATTGAAGGCTCTCTGTTTAAACATTATAATAATAAAACGTTTTGATCAATAAATTAATGAATTTGTTTTTCTTCTACGATTTGCCAGGGGGAAACTTACTGAGATGAGTCTTTTTCTATCAATCTTAATTGTCTAAAGATAATATGTAGATAGATGATCTTTATAGTATTTTCAGTAGGATTCGTGCTCAATTACTGAATATATTTTTGGTTGAAATTCGAAATGTGGTAATTTTTTATGTATTAGTCAAACATTCAAAATAACTTTGAAAGTATTTATTATCAAGTCTAAATAAACGTATTAGATGTATTTACTTCGATGATTATCTTAACGGTTTAGAAAAGGAAAATCTCTGAATGTACAAGTATGGATATACTATTATAATTATTAATGTAGACGGAGTACTTGAAGGTTTCGAGAAGGAGAGTATTGGTCGTTTGTGCAAAATATCGTAGTTCGAGTTGAACTACAAGTGCTTATATTCATGTCTGGCAAAGAACTCGCTCCTTCGACTAACTCTGGAAAAACTGTGTCAATGCAATATTTTTATCCGAAGCGACCAAAACAGCTGGCCTGCTTTCGTAAACTGTTTAAAAACTGAACTCTACCTTTGAAGAAGAAAACGAGATTCAGCATTTTTTGTCCCAACGAATCTTGTAATAATGTCAGCCACGGATTCTCTCTTCGATGTGGAAGCCATGTCGAAGTCCAACGCACACCCAAACTAAAGTGAGCTGTTCTTCTTACATAAACATATAGACTGTATTTGCTTTCACTGATTATTATATTAATAGGTATATGTTTAAGCTTTAGGGTAGAAATAGTGTTCTAATTCATAAATAAATAAGAGGTCGTTATAAATGCAAAACTATAGAGATGTTGTCAGTCATATTTGAGTTCGGAACTCGCAGCTGGGAAACGGTTCGAGGCGTTTAGAAAAGTAAATAGAACGACATTCTATAAACGCTAGGACGTTTTTAAGATACTATTCGAAAAAGAAATCCGTTTTTATGAGTTTTTACTGTTTTTATTTAACAAATAAACAAGCCTGTGAGACGAACTATTAAGTTTGGTGAAAAAGTGACTGATCGATGTCAGTCGGTCTAATATGGAAATGATTACTTATGTAACATCATTTGAGCTAACAAAAAGCTTATTATTTTAACTTGATCGAATGCCATAAAACTCGGTGGTATACAAACTGCTGAATTCAAAAATATATAACCTTTTTTTTTCGGTTGGGCCAATAGGAATATCAATGCCGAGGACCTAGTTCTCGAGGATTTTCCCGCCATTTTCAGACTCAGACATGGCGACTTTGCTTCTGCGTCATTGTGAATCGACTTGTAAAAAAGGCTAATAAAACAAACCGATTTCTAAAGGCAACATTGCGAGGAAAAAAGCAGGTTTGTTAACAAAAGCAAGTAATTAGGCTTCAATGAAGCTTTATAAAATGCCCTTTGATTTGAGGGTTTTTTTCCTGGTACATTTCCGGTTTTTCTTTCCTCCAAAAAAAAATAATCTAAATTCCAATGTAGATCTGTGAATTAACCATGTTGTTTCAGGGTTCGACCTGTGAGTTAGCCGTGCCCTGTTGTAGATCAGCCCAAGATGTTGTTTTAGAGCTAGAGATCGATGAAACTGAAGTTCATAGATCTGGTTAGACCAATAGACCAACCTGAGCTCGAAAACGCTCATTTAGAAGTCTAACTCTTACAGACTTTGACTAAATAGCCTATAGTTTCGACTGAATGCAGATCCCACAGCCAAGAATGTGTTAAGTGACTTTAAAAACCCGGTCCACTCATAAGCACTATTAAAGAGTAGAAATTGTACTGATAAAACTAAGCCAGTACCATTTAATCCAAGAGAAAACTAAGTACTATTTAATATGTATTTATCTAATCATTTTAATTCGAAAGCACCACTCTAGAAGAACTATCTGCTAAGGGGATTCTCGTGATTATTGCCTAATATATTTAATTGGTAGAACAATAATAAAACATTTTCCTCAGCTTATGGGTATAAAAATAGCAGTTTTAATCGCAGATGTTTTTAACTCAAAAAGTAGTGTTTTAATGGGTCGAGACGTTTTTATGAAGAGTTTTTTGCCGCACGTAATTGCGTATTCCATTAATGCAATTATAACGAAGTTTTCTTTGTTTTTATAGAATGTTTGAGATATAACGCGCGCGCTGATTGGCTGGCTACCGTGTTTATCTCCGTCGGAGGACAGACACACGCTCGCGCAAAATCGTTCAAAAATATTTTATAAAAGCAATATAAAACGGCTGCTTATGTCTATATACTGTTATATAAACACTCTGGGAGCTGTAGAGCACTCGAGAAGACAGAGCAACACTTGGCTACGCCTTATGCTTCCAAGCTTGCTTCTCTTTTGCTCTACAGCTGAAAGCGTGTTTATATCACAGTGCAGAGACATGCCTAGCACGTTTTATATTACTTAATTATGCCCTAATGTCAACAGGTCTGTTCTTTTCTTATTCTAGTTCTAAATGTCAGTCAGTGGTAAAGAGTTTTGGACTAAAAGTGCCCACACGCGGTGCGATATTTTACACATATGGTATATAATATGTCGAAAAAGGAAGTCCTACCATATGTATTAATTTTCAGATGACGTTATTTATAAAATATTTGTTGATGTTCAAAGCTATACGCTACATAGACCTCTTTACCTTGGGCGTAATGTTTTCCCATTTCAGACAACATGTCGTTTACTAGAGTATCACTTCTTTGTTTAAGGGTTGCACACGAGAAGACGTATGAATATGAATACGACTCGAAGAAAGAATCTTACTCTCAAGAGAATGGCACGTGGTTTGAAATGGGAAAATATTACGCATTATATATAATATATATTTGTAAAGCGCTGTTGAACCTTGAGGAATTGGCGCTCAATAAATCATAATTATTATTATTAATTATTATTATTATATTTCAAGTCCATGCGTGAGTGGGCTATGCCCTGACTTAGATTAGACCAGGGGTTCTTTTAGTCTCCCTCGCATCCGTTTTTAGTGTCGGTCGTCACGCAACGCTCTTTGAGATAAAATAAAGTTTCTGTGCGAAATTTCGTTAAAATATGTGCGACAGGCAATCAGTATCGCGTCCCGTGTGACTATAAAACGTTTATCGTGATCTTAACTCAAAGATTGTTTTTAAATAAGAATCTACAGGCACGTGATCGGTAAAAAAAGTGAGTGATATCTTGCATACCATTAGATATATGTATAAATGTATACTACAACCTTTTTGCAATCAAGTGTGTGTGTGTATATATATATATATATATTAAACAGTACATATAGAGATAGATAGATAGATATTATCGTACTTGTAAGTCAGTAAACTGGATATATTGAAATAGCTTTAAGCTTGAACTGGTCGAGATAAGCTTCAAATAAGTTTAGTTTTATCCATTCCTAACCTAGCTCATAGTACTTACAACGGATCGAATGACCGCCACTAATGGCATTATATTTTTATCTTTCTACAACAAAATTCAACAGCTGTAATGATGACTAGCGGCAAAAATGAAATCACTTTCTACTAGAGGGCGAACCAATTTTAAGCAATTTTCAAGAGAATGGCATTCAAAACGTAACGAACAGGATCAGTTTCTTGTATAGACGTCAGAGAATCTAGTTGAGTTGACAATCAATTTGGGGAAGTCATTTCTCTCCTGCATTATACTCGCTTAGCCTGGTAAACTGTTATAGTTATATATCGGAAATACTGTACCAACGGATATCTATAATATCGCCTGGTGTGTTTTGCAAAAAGCATTTTAAYCAAGTATTTTCGTAAGTTTCCCTATCTGTTTTCCATACATTAAATAGATTTAATTTAAGATATAATTTTCTTCTCGCTTTGATTTCAGAAGACATAAATATGAACGCCGAAAACGAAAAAACCGAGTTGGAATTGGTTATCAAATAAATTGACAGCGAAAACATTTACTTAAGTTCTTTCAAAACATGTAAGAAATAAGTGTGATTAACCAGAGTAAAAATCGTTTTTTTTCCCTTTCCTAATCCTCGAAATAATTGCTTAAAATGAAAACCCTCAACTGGTAATTTTCCTAAACATCTTTGAAGATTACTTGACGTTTTGTCGTAACATTATAATGGCTTCCAGAAAAAATTTGGGCTTCCTTTCAGTTCAAAACAAAAACATATGCAGCCCCTCCATGTCGGCTGACTTTTCTAAAGCAAAATAAATGACATTGAAAAGCTATTTTTTTTAGTTCCATTTTTCTATTAATCATACCTTAATGGTGCCCAGAGTCGCGAAGCTACGAAGTCAAGCGCTTGGTCGACTTTCCGAGTCATTTAGTTGTGCTCTTAGAAAGTTATATTATTCCAACTTGTATCGTGTAGATATCGAAGATTTTATTTGAGCACTGTGTAGGTTATAGTGACATTAATTATTTCTTTTCTGTTGCTAGGGTTTTTGTGGCATCAAACTGCTATGCGGAGTGAAATACAATGGACATTTGTTCTAAGAAGACTAGAAGATTTGATTGTAATTAGTGGGGAGTTGTTCGTCCAATCAGCGATCGACTGTCAATATCAATGATAAGTCTTAAGAATATTAGGCGAATTTCTTGAAGAATAATCTTGAAAAATATTACAAAGGCGACAAAAAATGGAACTTTAAAAACAATAAAAACGATACTGCGCCATGCTACACCACAAAAAAAAAACATTAAAAAATATCAAGAACATCCTTAAACTAAAGCATGAAAATACAATGGGCTGCCTTGGCTTCAACTCTTAAAAAAAGAAAGAAAAAAGCAAAAGAAAAAATGACACAAAAACCTTATTAAAAAATTGAAAATATTTTGAAAAACACTTACTAAAATAATGAAACATTGTTTTAAATTTTAGAACAAAGCGCCTTAAGAAAGTGAAGCTAGGGGCATAGAGCAAAATTACGCGATATCGCGAATCTGTCCTAAAAATACTACAAAATTAAAGAAGATTGATATATTTTCCAACGACAGGATAACATCTCCTTTGTTGGATTATTTTATTATTAATGTTGATGTTTTTAATCTAACTTTGAGATGTAATTAAAACTATGGACTGCTCAAAGCAATCAATTCTCAATCATCCTTGCAATAAAAAATTTTAACTTTTTTTTTTGTTTGTAATAAACTGGGAGTTAAATGAAAATAAGCTCATGGATTTTTGAAAACCTGGACAAAAGAATACGATAATAATTAATATTACTGTCAAAATAGATTTGGTTGTACAAAATGTAATATTTCATCATGGTATCTGATATTGAAATGATCTGGCAATAGATAAGATGTATTGGATATGCTGTGAGCTTTATTGAAATCCAAACAATTGAAAAATTACTTCATTTGTTTTGAAAGGATGTATTGAGTGCAAATGAAAACGAAAACAAGGCGGAAATGAAAGTGAAATGACTATTAAGATAAGAAAACGAAAATTACCGAAAAAAATAATTAAAAAAAAAAAAGTAGAAAATGAAAATGAAATAGGAAAAATAAGAATTCAATTTAAATTGTATTTAAGAATAAAAACACTTAAATAACTACATGAAAACTAAAAAAGGAAAGATATAACAAAATGAAAGAGAACATAGAATTA